ACGGAAAGAGAAAAAATTTTCCTAATGCGAACGGTCCTGTTCCAATACATATAAAAACAGAAGGTTATAGAAAAACTTTGTTTTCTATGTCAAAAACTCATTTTTAAGAAAAACGTTTGCCACTAAAAATGTTCTACTCACTGCGCTCTATCTACCTACAGCGATCCAGATCTAACATATTACCTTAATGAGATATTAATCAAAGAAAATGATCTATATCCGTTGACATTGTGGAGCGCGTACCTAAAGCAAACGGAAAGGAAATTTTGTTCCTAACAAGAACGCTCTCATGCATGTAAACTTGCTGAGAATTGAGAGACTTTTAAAATCCGGTACTTTTCTGCAACCCCGATTCCACAATCAAGGCATATGTCTGAGAGATAATCTACTCAGCACAAAATATACTTTTGGTAACAACAAGACTGACAGTTGAACGTGAACACAGATAAGCATACAATAAAAACAAAAACTTTAATTTACATCAAAAACCGGTTACAGGGAAACATAAAAAGGGCGATGCACCTATGAACCTTACTACCCTTTTCATAGTTGGAGATGTTGCCTTGGTTTTATTTTCAAACTTCTAATAGTGGTAGATGAGACAACTGCTTCGGATAGAGTTTGATTCCAGTCTCGAGCTGTTTGCTATAAAAAGATTATAAAACAGTCTCCGTCCGAGCAAAAGGAACCTTCTGTCTGTCTTGAGCGTTGTGCTAACCTGTTTAATCTTCTTGCTGTATCTAACCGAATTAGATCCAATCGAGAAAGTGGGGAGTGCCCATTTAGGATCTTGAAAAATACTAGTAGACGAAAATATTTTCTTCGTATCTCTAATGGAAGTAACCTGAGACCGGATACAAGATCCTATCATGTATACAAGAAAAACAAAAAGAAGTAAGGCGTATTTTTATCTCAAGGTTCCTGCAAAACTTCTTGTATTAAATAAAAATCTATTATACTTTCAGTTATTTTTCTTCTCAACTTTAATACGCGTGTACAGAAAAAAAGTGTTGACCAAGAAAATATAACAGAGTTCAAAAAAAATATTAAACAAAAGAAGAAAAAGATACTGACAAGGAACTTCTCGCTGTCCGTCTTCTGAAGTGAGAGAAGAAACATGAACGATAAAACAAAAACATTTACATTATTCTATATTTCGACTCACAGGCTTTTAAATTAAAGACATGTACTATAGTAAAGGAAACTTAGAAGGTACAATTTTAATGACATTAATTGTGCAAATAAGACAAAGGGAAGGATATCAAGCTACCAGTTAGTTATCCGATTTTGAGGAGTAACGAATTTCTCAAGGTGGTACGCTTGATTATTATTCAGCGAGTTTTCGCTGTCGATTGTTTGACGAACGTGTGAGTCATCGTCTTTTATGTCAACAATCGGTGGCTTATAATTTGATGTACAGCAATACATTACATTTAATAATCATGGTCAATCTAACAAGAAGTATTACTTAATCTGTAATGAAGTTTTAAATTTGTCAATTTCCACTGACTCAGTACTGGAGCGAAACAATGTGTTTAAATCAGCTATTTAATAATTCTACATGTAAGGAAAAAACCTGGTGTGGAAATGATATTGGATTAATAAGTGTACTTGTTGGAGTATGTGGATGTAACTCGAGCGGACAATGTTGAAAAATATCACTCTGTTTAAACTCCCGTTTGGGTAACAAATAGGTCATAGTTTTAAGCTTACAAACCATATTCCCCTTATTGCAGGGTCAAACTAAACAACAGTTTACAGTTATCAGTTGAATAATAAAGTAGGACTACGTAATGTTACTCATAATAACTTATTTTATTAGTTTTTTTTCCCTTCGTTTTTCCCATTTCTATCAATTATAACAAACAACAAAAGAAGATATCAACAGTTTGTATGATGTCGTGGTATTTTCCAATGGGAAACAAGTAATTTGTGTATATCCATATGTTTTTATTTTTCATCTCTGTATCGAGGGCAGAAACACAGATGGAAATACTAATATTTAATAGAGTATATGCTAGCAAAATTTTTCTAATTCTTCTCAAACACAAAATAACATATTAAAAAGTGTCGAAATTATGACACACGGCTGTATTAATTTACCACAAATTGTTGACATAGTATCTTATTTTGTTGTTTACTATAATTGATGGAAATGGGAAAAGCGAAGGGAAAGAAAAACTAAGAAAAAAAAAATTATTATGAGTAACATTACGTAGTACTACGTTATTATTCAACTGATAACTGGAATGTTATTCTGACCCAATCCGTGCTAAAGTACAATAAAATAGAGAAGTATTCTTTTGATATTCAATGTAAGTATTTCTATCATTAACAATCAATTTAGGTTAGTGTTTATATTTCATATTCTCATATTATTCCAGTAAAAGTTAATTTTTTTGGAAATAAAGAAATCGTGTAATAGTCATCAGGACAACGCAGAAATTCTTGAATAAATCAGTCAGTTGACCATTACATTGATAAATTATATTGGACACCACGTTAAGAAGTTTTAGCTCAAACTGAAGCCGCTTTAAGATTCGCTGACTGAAAATATCCCTTCATGGAAAATATCGTCGTCCATTTTCTGTCGTCATTTATATTCTATTCAAACTTTTAAAAGATATGTGACAGTGGAAACTGGAATTCAGGGGAATTCGGAATTCCACTAGTGGAAATTGGAATTCTAGTCTCCACTATAGGGGAATTCCGAATTCCACTAGAAATAAAAATCATACAGATTATTCTAAAGTACACTATAGTAGAAATCGGAATTTCCTATAATACAGTGTCAATAGAGTAAAAACAGAAAGAATTGAACGATACACACTAGACTATCCTTTATTAATAAAGCAGGAAAGGAAATAGAACATCCCAATCTTCAGTATAGTTGAGATTGGAATACACTAGCCTGCCGGAAAAGCAAGTGAGAGAAATGTATAAAAAGAAAATAGAGTAACTGTTGAATACAAATTTTACAATTTTGTGTACGTACGTGAATAAATCTTTTTCACAATGGAACTCTTCTATGAAAAGCTCGATGCTAATATTCAAAATATGAATGAAAAGCAATAATTTTGTACTTGAACAAGCAATGTATGATCCGATTTCCATGATAGTGTACATTAGAATAATCTGTATGATTTTTCTTTCTAGTGGAATTCAGAATTCCCCTCTAGTTGAAATTAGAATAGTCACCTTATTCCAATTTGCACCAGTGGAGATGGGAATTCTAATTTCCACTAGTGGAATTCTGAATTCCAGTTTCCACTGTTAATATACATTAAAAAGCTTCCAAGAAATTTCATCGGATCTTCAAGAGTCAGAAGGCCTACCGTTCACAATATGAAAAGTAGAATTTTCAGGAGTTAAGGATTGCAGAAAAGCTCTAAAGAAAAGTGTCCACTTATAGTCCACAGATGGTTTGTTAAGGCCCCCACAACCCCCCCGCCGGGTCAGAAACCTATCTGAGCCCAGGTAGGTATGATCTGGACGAAACGTTTAGAGAATGTTGACCATGTCAAAGTGTAGTGAGTCAAAATTATTTTGCGTTTTAAACAAGACACGTGGATATTTTTGACAAAAATCGGAATTTCTAACCCCAGAGGCTTCAAAGTGTTTATATTGCAAAGCAAGAAAAACTAACGAAGGAACAATCCTAGATGTTACACTCAGTTCGAGCTCATATTTTGCTGATCGATAGCGCACATTAGTGTAACAAAAGGTCTAAAAGGATTTGGATCTCTTTACGAGTTATCATTAATTTAGTAAAATTCGAGTTTTGATATTTTTAGTGGAACGCGCTCTTCGAATGAGTTGAAAAGCTGAACCTTAGAGTATCAGTAGTCGTACGTATAACCTGTATACTGCAAAAATTTCTAACCTTAGTCTTGTGTTTTTCGTGAGAAATAGATCGTTCTGTTTTTCATAGCGTAGTCTGTATGTGGTGCCTTACGACCTGCAGATGAAATAGTTTTCTTTTTTATTATCCAGCCTGCTGTGACACTCATGAGTTCATAAAATCATTTATTATCTGTATTAGAGTGTTTGCGCTATTGAATTACACGATTAGATATTTTTTTAGCTGCAGTTCGCCAGGCAGCACATATACTCCGTGAAAAAAACAAAATTCTACTTCTTACGAAGAACACAAGACTAAGGTTAGACATTTTTTCAGCATACGGGCTATACTCAGGGCTATTAATACTCTAAGTTTCAGCTATTCAACCCATTGGAAGAGAGCGTTCCAGTAAAAATACCAAACGCTCGAAATTTTACTAACTTACTGATAACTCGTAAACGGATCCACATCCTTTTAGACTTTTTGTTACGCTAATGAGCGCTATCGATCAGAAAAATATGAACTCTAACTGAGTGTAACACCTAGGAATGTTTCTTTGTAAGCACATCAGAACAGGTATATAAGTCGGTACATCGAAAATTCTGCATCTTTTATTACTAGAACTAAGTTTCTAAAGTTGTGTTAACCGGGCGTACATTTATTTTCAAGCTGATGATTTTCGAATTAAGCAGATGTTTTTGTGGCTTCTGTAGTGTTAATTTTGCAGAAAAATGGCAAATACTTATTTTGAAATAACTATATGACTAAAATCCACATAAAATGTTTTATCTTTTAGCATCAGAACAAAAGCCGGCCCACCCGTTATCATTTAGTTGCACACCTATTATCCAAAACGTTTCCTTCCAAGAGAACTAAGGAGCCCACATACAGAGTAGAACGAAAAATGAACTTATGAGTATACTTTTAAAATTTCGAAAATACTTTCTCGAGTTTTTCAAAAATCTATGTAGGCAGTTTTAATGAAATTTTTTAATCATTTTTATATTTTATATTCCTTTGCAACATTTTGTGGGCAAGATAACGGCTTTATCACAATTAATACTGCTGTATCATATATTGTGATAGGGATACAGCAAGTGTTTCGTTACTGTATGTCAAGAAGTTAGAACTGGGTTTTTCTTTTACAGAAAACGCCAAAATGCTACAATATAATTACGTTCTGCTACTCATGACTATTGGTTTAAATCATCTTGTCCATCGCTCATTATCAGTCATTCTACCTCTATGCGTCTATAAAACGTATGATACCAGTTCATTTTATACAAATATCTTGTCAGAATATAGAAATAGACTGTCCATCGATGTTGTACCAACTTATCGAAAAGCATATGAAGTTCTTCAAACTGATATAATAAACCCATTATTGTATGCTGATATTGATGATTTAAATCGTAATAATGAATCTACTACGCTACTTGTGAAAAAAATTGAACAAGGTGCAAAAACATTAATCCAAAATCTTGAACTCACCATGAACAGAAGTAACCAAATTCGTACCGAAATTGATAGAATATTAGAAAGTAATGTGAACAGTGTCTCTAGTAAAGAAGGTTTTGTTCGTGAACAAGAGACATGCGTTCATCAGATGAATACAATTATGCAACATATACCAGATCAACTAAACTTCGCACGTTCACTTATGATGGAAAAAGAAAATGCTGCTGCCACTGCCAGACGCGAGATGGGTGAAGCTGAACGACAACATGACCGTCTACATTCTTATCGTTGTTTATGGGGTTTATTTTGTAGTCGACGAAACATCGGTAGTCGTATGGATATGGCAAAAAAACGACTGGATGAGACACAAGAACAGTTAATGAAACAGAAATCTATTGTACTTGATTTAGAATCACAGGAACAGAGTGTTCAAGCAACAAATCAAAACTTAAGAGGTAAACTTAAAGAGTTACAAATATCGTTGAATACATTCAAAGAAAATCAACAACTAANTCGTTGTTTATGGGGTTTATTTTGTAGTCGACGAAACATCGGTAGTCGTATGGATATGGCAAAAAAACGACTGGATGAGACACAAGAACAGTTAATGAAACAGAAATCTATTGTACTTGATTTAGAATCACAGGAACAGAGTGTTCAAGCAACAAATCAAAACTTAAGAGGTAAACTTAAAGAGTTACAAATATCGTTGAATACATTCAAAGAAAATCAACAACTAAAAAATTGTTCCTATATTGCGGTACAATATCACTAAAGGGAAGGACACAAGAGGGCCTCCCTACGATGGAAGACCCCCACCCCTGTTACAAGTCCCTTCAGGAACTCATAACGCAAAAACCACGTAAGAAGCCCCCTTTTTTATCGATTTTTTACCTAAAATATGATGATTTTGGGTTCAATCAAACATAATTTTTGCATTCGTCTTTTTGCTCAGCTGTTAGAGTGAATCACAGCTGCTAGAATGATAAAAAATAAAAATAAACAGCGGTCATCAGCTGAATCAATATCTTTGTACACAGTGAGAACTCTCGATCAAGTGATTTCAGCTCAAAATCGGCTCTATTTTAGGGACGCTTTATAAGACCCTCTTCAAAGTTATGAGCGCTAGGACGAGAATTAAGACCGGGGTCCTCTATTGTGTCCATCTCTTTAGGGTAAGAGAACAACCAAAAGATGATCAACGATGACCACGGGATAGAGGAAACATTAGATCAATAAGACAGTATCAATGGTAAAAAAATATTTAGAGTATATGTAGTGAAAAATTGATGATTTGGTGGAACAAGTAAACTGTTTTTCGTTTTTTTCTAGTCAATAGCTGGAACAAAAAATGTTTTTTCAATGGTGGAGACTGCAGTTATTCTTTTGATGCCATCTAAGGTGATCTCGAAAAATGATATGAATGATGTACGGCACTTGGGACGGAGGAAGGACTTGAAGATGCGTAAAACGCAATCGCATAACATGTGAATGGTTCCAAACATCAAAAATAACAGCTCAGTTGAAAGATGTTATTCAACATATTAGTTCATTTCATTCATCATCAACAGTACTACGTAACGCATTACAAACATTAATCGATTTTGATTTATTAATTATACCATTGAATTCGATTTATGATGAAATGTTAAAAAACCATGTCATGGATCCATTTGAAAATGGTCTCATTGAACAAGGAACGATTCATGAAATCAAAGCAAAATTAGATAAATTAACAATAAAATTGCCAGATATGCCCATCAATCATCCTGATGATGCTGATGATAATAAAGTTCAGAATAACAATCAGGGGAAATTTAATAAGGAAATCCGGCAAAAAAACCAGCTTTACCAAAGTTACCGCTCCTTAGCTATGGGCACTAAATATCCACCTTCTCCGCTTTCCATCTTACACTACTCCCGCAGATGGCTCAGATAATAAAGTAAGGAAGCTAAAACGTCAGTTCACGAAAAACCCATGATTCTAACCATTTTCAAGGTAATGGCAATCACCCTCTCTCAGCTACATTACTCATTATCCTGGCCATCAGCTTGCTATTTTTCTTTTTCTTATTTATCGATCGAGTCAGCAACGACCTTCCAAACGTTAGCTCGTTTCATCGTCGCTCTCTCCGCACAACCGATTAGGACGTGCCTGAATTAGAAAAATAACTAAGGAAAAATTAGATGAAACGATATGAAAGGGGAGTGGAGATAAAGAAGTGAAACTTACATGATTTCCGACAGATAAAACAGAACTAATTGGGATAAAGCGGTTCTCTTGCCCGCAAAATGTTGTAAAGGAATATAAAATATCTAATTGGTTAGAAAACATTTCTAAATAAAACTGCCTATTCAAATTTTTGAAAAACTAGAGAAAGTATTTTTGATGTAATCGACCATGCTGTTTCTGTATACATCATTTATTTTGCTTGAAAAAGCCTTCGAAGTCTGACAAAAGTTCCTTCATGACTTGCAAATAAGTGTTACTCTTAATTCAGGTCTGCACATTCCTTCTCTATTCTATATTATAAGAAATTGCCCTCTTGGTATTTTCGTCTTTTCTTCTATCGAATTAAACTACTTCTTTTTTGCAAAAGATGCGCCTTGAAACACTCTACAAAATCACATCTAAGCTATAATTTCAGAACTTCAATCAAGAAAACTAAGCCAATTAGATGAAAGTCGAAAAAAATGAAAACTGATTTCTTGTGTTAACGTTTTGAAAGTGAGAAAAACTGAATTAGCCATTTTGTAGTCCTGACTTCGCTTTATCTTTTAGCTACGCTTCAAATTTTTTCAAGCCAAAAGCCACAGCGAAAACCAGAACTTCAATTATGTTTTCCGAGTCTTGCTTGAGTACATTGTTGGTAACGGGGAGGTTGTCAAATTCTGACGAATTTTTGTAACTTCGTTTTCCCACACTCCATCTGCTCTAAAAGAACTTTTTTCCAGACCTCGAAAAAGAGGTCATTTGAAAGTACCAAACACAAACCGAGTGCTCACTTTTGCTACATGTTTTTTTTCCAGATTTTGAGTTTGGAAAATTTTCATTCTTTTCGACTTTCATCTAACTGGCTTAGTTTTCTTGATTGAAGTTACGAAAGTATAGTTTAGTTCTTCTGAAGTACCCGTTAGTTTCCCATTCAAGTTAGCGTAGTGATAGTGTCACAGATTCGTAATTCAAAGTATCCTGGTTCAACTCTTAGTTCCTGACAGTATATATTGAAGAAACCGTGAAATTTAAGGCAAGGCTTTACCTGCAAAATTTTATAGAATTCCAAGTGCATATTTCAAGGGTTCTTACACATGAAATGTCGATAAAATTTCTCCGTGGATCTTGTATCCTACACTGGAAGAAGATTACTTAAATGACTAGATTCTTGTTCCGGCACTTACAGTACAGTCTCATGCAGAGATATAGCGAAGATCCAAAAGTACTCAGATAGTGATTATGTTCCAAAATGTGAGCAAAGTTTTTATGGAAAACCTTACCCTACCTTCTCCTTCACTCTTTATCGTGCGTCTCAATTAGATGACTCATCAGATGAGTGATGAAAATAACGTTGCTGAGGAGAAATTATGTCCACGTAAGAAATTTCGATATATTTAAGATTAGTGTGATAAAAGTACCGATGGCATAACCCGTGTAGGAGATGGTTATTCTCCCTCTTACTTTGAGATTAGAAGCATTGTAGACCCGTTTTGGAAAAATTTACCTTGAAATATTTAGTCCTAAATTTCAGAGTAACTTTCCTTTCTAAACTATTATTTGATATCACTTTAGAAATGTTAAGAAAAATAAAAAGCGTCCAGTAAAGCTGCAAAAAAGGGGAAAACTTTGGTCACATTTTAGAAAATAATTGGAACCTTTGATTGCCTTTGGTTCTTCATGACGCCCCGGCATAAAGCTTTTCTTTTTTCTTTTAGATACTCAAGCAAAGAAAACAGCATTGCATTCAGGTGATTTCGATCTGAAATCAACATGGTGTGACAATAAAATCCCGACTGATGGTGATAGTATCATGATCCCAGCTGGCGTAACCATCACAATTTCAAGAAATATTTTGACGAATCTTCCTCGTATTCTAATATATGGTACGATGAAACTCAACGTTTCAAAATTTACACTTAGTCATTCTACGTCAATCACGATTTTTAGCGGTGGTTCATTAGTTGATACTATGGAACCATCATCTTGGTACTTAGCTTCGAATTCGGTAATACATGTTTATCGTGAAGGTATCATATCAACGAAACATTCGATCAAAATTTGCAATAGTCACAGTTGGTACTGCAGCACGGCTTTTGGTTCTCATACAAAGGGGCCGTTAACATTGACTGTCGGTCTTGATGGAATAGGAACTGTTACAATTCATTCAGGTAATCGACTTATTGCAATTACTTCTGGATCGTAGTTGCTTAATTGACTTTCACAAATTTCATATTTTTTTTTCGAGTATGAATACTGATACGGATATTGATCAACTGTCACGTCAACTGCTGCACCGAAGGTCATTTCTCTACTTAGATATTTGAACTTTTCCCTAACTAGCGAAACTTCTGTTTCAGAAAAAATCCTGTTTTTATATTAAACATATACCTCTGTCCCATTCTTGATTGATTGATTTTTATTTCGACAACAGCCGTTTGGTCAGAAAGTACAAAAATCTAATAAACACAAAACATGTTGTCAGGAAAGCAAAAAAAGTTTTAGAAACCTGTAAAAATTGACACCTTTTATCCTATATATATATATTTTTTTCTTTTCCCCTTTCACAGTTGTAGGTGCTGCTTCAGTTTAGTTTTGAAAGATTTTATTGTTGACGAGATAACTACAGTGTTGGGGAGAGAGTTCCAATCGCGCGCTGTCCTGTACAGAAAGGATTGTAGAATAGTTTCAGTGCGCGCAAATGGGATAAAAACTTGTCTATTATGTTGTAATAGACGTTCGGATCTTCTACTCACATCATACTGTATGAGATTGAATCGAGACAAGGGTGATAAGCCGTTAAGGACTTTCAACGGATAATCCTGCACATTTTACCTCATAAATACTCTGAAGCGTGAATAAGGAAATGGCACAGCTCCGAAGCGTAGAGTAGCGCTGTTCTTGAAAAATGGATAATCATAAATATAGAAAACATCCGAATTTTGAAAATTTATTACTCCTAGTCTGCACAACTGATTGACATAACTTATTATATATAATTAAAAATTAGGTCTATCAAGTTGGTAGATTCGAGCTTTGGAATATTCATAAAACGATGGAGAAAACAAAATTTTTCAGAAAAATTCGAAAATTGTTCTTTAGTTAAACAGAGCTGGAAATATTGGGAATCGTCTGTTATTCTTTTCAAGTGCTTCACAAAAAAATAATTTTTAATTTCTGCAACTGATTGAA